CAGGCACAATCGCGACAAGTTGATTTGCGAAGCCTTCTGTCTACGGCACTGCAACGGGTCTTTTGCAACTTGCCAAGCCCCAGAGGCACCGATTCCACCAAAACACAACAAGGCAAAACAGCCGCCCTAGGAACATAGGACATAGGCAGGGCACATGTTTTGACCAAATGGATGCACTGGCCCTTCCCAGACTGGCCTAGAAATGTTGTCACGGCTTCCAGTGGCATCCGCAGTCGTCTTCGAGATGCACCCTCCCCAGCACGAAAGGGGGGGTTGCACGACAAGCTGACCAGCTCGATCTTCGTCAGCTTTTGGAAAGGAGTCCCCGCCTTCTTCATTGGACTCCGCCTTCTTCATTGAGCTTGCTGTCGCTTTCCAGGCTTTGAGAGCCGAAAAGTATCCAACCCCGAACCCCGCCTCCCCCGTCCACCCGCCTGGGTTACAAAACTTACAATGACGGAGATCGCCTGCTCATGATTCCAAACAATGAGTTATCAGAGCCAAGCAGCACCAACACCACTACAATCAGGATGCGCCGAACTTTTGGTGGATCACCTTGAAGACGCGCCAGACGGCAACAACCATCGAACACTCCAAACAACTTCCATGTCCTGCTGCACACTGAGACGCTGCCATCCACATAATCCGGCCAAAGCCAACAAACCTGAGCAGCGGCGATCTCAACGAGGGAATTGCAAAAGGCCAATGTGCCAAGTCTTGCGGTCTTGCGACTCCGAGGGTAAAGAGAAGCGCGAAAGCAGCAAAGGCGGCCAGCAGCGCTGCCACCATGACCCAGCTGCTTGAAGGTCATAGCATCTCATTCAGCCATTTGATAGTATTGGGCACTACCCCACCCTTGCGTGAAGATGATGCTTGGTGTTGGGATCTATCTCCACGTTTTGAGGCAACTGTGCACTGGCAAAGTGATCAATCATTCAGATCCGAAAGCTGACAGTGCAACTTCTCTAAGATCTCCAAGAGAGCAACCATGCGGGCAGAAGGCGGATCAGACACTGAGCAAGCCTTGCCCACAGCGAAAGATGCCACCTGCGTGCATTCCGTTGGAAACTATCCGAGGCCCGATTGCCGGAAAAGAGAATCAGCTCGGTGCAACTGGAACTCTTGCGACTTGCTACGCAAAGCACCTTCAAGGTGCTTCGCCGCTAGCGGCTAGCCCAGTCCGTCCGAGCCTCGGCTCTTCGCCGCCACGACATGGCCAAGTCTACGAAGAGCCCACCAGGTGTCTCCCTGCTTCTGCAAGCTGACACAGCTTGTATGCGGAAGTCAGCACATGTATTCGCAAACTGCATGCTTGCACCGTTCTACTGCACAAGAGCGTGGATTCCTTGTATCGCACGGACTGTCCTACGCCCGTTAGAGCCAGTCCAGATGACCCCTGCCTCCCTGTCGTGCTGTGCAATGCACTTTCGTTCGCAGGCGAGGCATGTGCATCGGCATCGGCCTGTGTTCCTGTTTTCAACTTCCTCGCCTGGCTCTCTTGCAACCAAGGCCTGCGAAATCTGAGCGGATCACCGCAGTCTCTTGCATCTATCAAACCCCGCAGCCCTCGCGCTTCAAACTGATATGTACTCTGAACAGAGCAGGCCCCTCGCAAGGGAACGTGAAACCAGGACTGACGCAAACTCTCACTGCGTGGCATCTGATAGATACTCGATACTCATGAAGTTGCTCTTCCAGGGTCTGTTCCTTGCGAGGCTGCCAGTTCTGTCAAGAGCGAGCCGCTATTGATTACAATGCTCGGCCCGCGTGGGATTTCCTTTGGAAATGCCACTAACATCTCCTTGCCAAGTAGTCGCACATGGCTGCTTCACAATCTTTGTCTTTGAACAAAGGAACAACTCGCTTGAAGTCCCTTCAGCCATCTCCGGCTTTCAATGGCGGGAAGGGTTTGTGGAGTGGGAAAAGGCACCAGGCAACACTTTCCTGGGAGACTCACCCCCACATGTCATGCCTGAGGCAGAGTCTGCAGTGTCACAGGTAGCGACGTGGAATCGAAGAACTGCATAGTTGGTAAATCCGCCTGGGCGTGCGGCTAGCATCACCTTCTTCTAGCCAGCTTCCCACCCTCAAGCATGAAGTAGGCCTGGGCTCGAGACCACAGTGCCGCAATTGCAGAATCTGTAAGCACACCAACGTGGGTTAAGTTCACCAGGCTAACTAAGTGCAGACAAACCGCATGCTTCAGAGCTGCTTCTGCTGATGGCCGGTCTGTCACCTCGAAGGCCAACATCCTCGAACAGAGATCTGCCTTGGCAGCGCGAGCTTCTTGCAGCTGCTGGTGAATGCTGGCGGCGGCGCTTGCCATTGGAACCGAGCAACCGCTTCCGGACACCGATCAAAGGGCGGTCGCGAAAAGTCTATCCTGAGTTGTCGAAGACAATTAAGGCACTAGCTAAAACAAGTTGGTGCTCCGAAAGCTGCCAAACGAGTCGAGTTACTTCGCTTTCTTCAATCGTTCATGAATCCTGGTGAACAAGGCTCTGTTCCGTCGAACTTCTCATTTACCCCATGACTGACCTCTTCATGGCAGGACTGCCGACCCAGTTCTCGCCCGGTTGGTCGTCGAACATGTCTTCCTCCAGCAGAGCAGGAGACGCGAAAGACTGGGGAGAGAGAGAGAGAGAGAGAGAGCCGGGCCCGGCTGGGGAATCTTCCGGTCAGCAGCTTGTACATGACCTTAGCGGCTTGGCGACTCACCTCAACTCATGTCTGCTCAGCGTCGGTAGGGATGGCGCCACGCCCAGCGAATATATGTCTGAAGCTGGTGAGTACGTGCCTGGCACCCGACCAAGACTGGCCGTCAAAGTCAGGCTTGCATAAAGCATGGTGGGAGCAACAGAGTCTCTTTCCCAAGTCCGAGGCACCCAAGTATGCTTCTGGTGCAATGTAACCATCTGTGCCAAGAACATCTTTTGCTTTGGGGCTGTGAGGTTCCCAGTTCTCCACCTGAGACGCAGCGACAACTCCCGCCTCCAATGTGATAAGTGCAGATAGCAGAGCATCAAGAGGCCGAGCAGCCGTGTCGAAATCGATGAGCTTCACACTTGCCGGGCTCTGGGCATCTCCACCATCTTTCAATCGATTAAGTTGGTTGGTCTTTGCTTTCCTTGGGAAGCATGCCCGAGGAGCGCCACACACTTGCAGCTCTTCGATCCAGGATGCCAACTGGCTTGTTTGGCGCTGAGTTTCTCTGAGCCGGGGCTTGGCAGATCCACCATGACGTTTTCTGCCTTGAGGTCTTTGTGAATGCGTCCGCTGGCATGCCTTGGCCCAACAAACCCACACACAGCCATGTCGCTCTCCAGCCAGCGACTGCGTGACGGGATGCATCAGCTTCAAAGCTTCCAATGTCTGACGCACCTGGGATGCCATTCCATACAGGACGCAACCGAGGAATGGCTGCCGGGCTTTGAAACCTGCTGACTCCAGTCCCACCTAGCATAAGCCGGAATACTACCTCCCGCGCATCGATATGGCTGAGCTCTGCTTCCTCCATTTGCTCGAAAAGGTCCTTTCCTGGCGCTCGACAAGAAAACAGTGAACAGACGAAGACAGGAGTCAAGATCCAGGCCTTCCACTTTCTCCATGAACACGCAATATCTCTCCGGAGTTTCGAGGACCTGTGCGAAGGCATGCAACTTGAAATTTTGGAGCTTGCAGTGGGAAGATTGCCGCCTCATAGATCTGACACAACTTGTCGATTCTCCTCGGTTAGCCCAGCATGTTAAGCACAGTGTGCAAACAACCTGGTCAGGCACTGGGCAACAATTTAGCTCATGAGTGAGTGAGTGCCAAGCTGCGGCATGCTCATTTGAACCTCGGTGGTGCTTCTCCAATTCCTTTCTTCTGCTGCGCTTTTGAAGGAAATACCCTGATCAGGTGTCAACAAAAAAAAGCTCGCAAGGTAGCGCATGGCATCCACAAGCTTTGCACCCATCATGCACCAAAATCAAGGGCAGATTCCACGGCTGTGGCCTTCTGCCTCGTCTTTACCACACACTCTTTTCCGTCAGCTAGCCGCGTTGCCCAAAGAACCTCCATCCCGCGGTTTGTGGACTCCATGACCTGAAGCAGGGGGGTGCAGAATCATGATACTGGTGCACCGCACAGTTTTTTCTAGACCAAGGGACCATTCCACCAAGTTTGTATCCTGAGCACAAATCCTCAAAAAGTTGGAATGTCGGTCTACCCTTAGTGCAGCCAGGTTACGGCGGGCGACTTCTCCCTCAGACGTGGCCTGCATTGATCGCCGAAACTCTGCCACAGGATACGCTGCATGATTACATGGTTTCTGCGGCATAGAAAGATCCGGTTGTCTGCAGCTTGGATGATCACACCACGTGGTTCAGGGACTTCGAGGACTTCGCAAATCTTGCTGTGACGTCACACTGTCATATAGGCAGGTGTGCTACGGATTGCGGATGAAGCATTCCTGCCTGAATCTTACACTGGTGCTGTACTTTGGCGCCCGGTGTTTGGTCCTTGGCTGCCACAAGCATCCTCAAGCGTGAAGGGGAAAGAGCTTGCAGTAGTTGCAACAACTGCGAAATGCTTGCAAAGGGCAGCTGTAGAGACCGACAAAGAAAGCCCCAATCGCTCTCGAGCTGCCTTCATCATGCTGGGCCTCAGGTCACAAGCTTCGCATCTGCTCCGGGTCGTTGTGGCTGCGACGGCAAGATGGCACTGAGCATGCGTCAGCACGCACTCCGCGAGGGGGGGGCGGACGACCTACAGCCAGCCCTGCCTAGGAAAAGGAACGAGCTGCAGCAGACCTCTGCAAAGCAGATCAAAGCAGGCACGCGGAAAACCGATACATGGAGCAAGCTACTCTGACTGCCTTCCGTAGCACATGTGAGGGACGTGGTTGCCGGGCTGCCCTGACTATTGCATCCCACCACATCAGACCTGATCGCCTGTCATTGGGATCTGAGGGCCACCGAAGAGCCCTTCTCGGGTTGCGCGGTGAAACTGAGCTGGACTCAACTTTGGTCTCGCTCATGCACATGCCCCTCCAGAAGCGCCCTCACCAACCCCGGATCACGCTCGATGCGGTCGCTCAACCGTCGCCAGATTTGCTCGAAGACATCTTCAGAGTGTGACTCGACAGAGCCGCCCGGGCTTCCACTGTAACCGACATAGTCCTGGCCATTTCCATTTCCACGAAGACGCCCAATTTTACGAGCACATTGGCTGACATTGGCAGGGGCCAAATTGTCGACCAGAACTTCCCCACAGAACTGTGCCAGATCTTGCAAATCGTACATGTGCGCCAATTCAATCAATGCTGCAGCATCAACATTGGGATCGAAAACTCCGGTGTAGATGTGCTGCAAGAAGCCCGACACTACTTCCCTCGGTGCTGGAATACTGACACGGGATTCCTTGGACTCCAGCATGCCAGACTCAAACATTCGGCAAAACACAGACGAGCTGGCTGCTAGCAAGGCTTTGTGTGAGTGAAGAACGCACCCGTCAGAGCAAACTACTTCCACGTCTGAGAATAAAGTCGTTTGCAGCAGGCGCTCTGCATAGCAAACGGGGGTTCGGCAATGCTTTTGCGTTGCCTCGATACGCAAGGCTGCATTGTCTGCGACGGATGCGCCGAAGAACCGACGGGCTCGGGCAGGGGCCAGGAGACTTCCATGCCAAACGCGCGCAGAATTCACAAACACTTCAGCGCTGCCGGTGCCAGTCCATTTGACAATAATGCAGTCACCTTGCCTGAGTCCAGCAGCCTCGCGCCGACTTCCCTTCGTGCCTGCCTGTGAACTCGCAGGACTCTGACTGCGGATGCCGAAGGACTGGGGTAGAAATCCCAGATCACCTGCCTGACAGGGTGCCTCTTTTCCAGTGAAGAACAGTCCACCCACTGAAATCGAGTTTCCCTCTCCTGGGAACTCCATCACCCGTATCATGAACTCATCGCCCACATACTCTGCCGGGACGAGGGCGAGCGGACTTTCAGAGCCGGCTGAGCCGGGCACCCGCACTGTCCAATCATCATCGAAAACAAGTATGAAGCTGGAAAGTGCCTTGTCCCACACTGGCCGAGTCGTGGGCATGCCGGGACTTCCCGAAAGCCTAGTCTCCCAAGTAGGCTCTCGCTGCAAGCAACCTGCCTATCAGAAGCAAACGTTCATAGTTGCAGGCTTCATGCTACTGGCCGTCGACCTATAGTGCATGATGGACTTCAAGCTCACGAGAATTTCAATGCTCTGTACCGTGCGAAGGTTCAGCCGGTAAGCACATTCACCTCAGAATCATCCTAGCAGAATCAACTACATAGCACGTTGAACCATGCCTTCCAGAATGCTGCCGCCTGTTTTGACACTTGTTGGCAACGTTTGCAAACTCAGCTTAGACAGTTCTGTCCAAGCGCTTGCTCATAACGGTTGGCACCTTCCACGATAATCCGCTGCCGATGCTTTCAGCAAGTGCTCCCGGTGGATGGGGCGTGCTGGGAAAGGACATACTGCTATCCCTCCTGACTAGCACCTCAAGGATAATGAATTAACAGGTTGTCAGAAAGCCTAAGCAGCCGTTCGTTCTCACTCATACAAATTTTGATTCGAAGGTCTTCGGAAGTATCTTGCACGCTGAGGGCCAGCGGTCTCAGACGCTCGCCGTCTTGCTCCTTGGCTCAGAAGTATGACGCTCTACTGCCGATGGTTGACAACTTTCGGCCAGCAGGCGTCCAATGGTCCACCTTTATCGGTCGACCTTTGAAGTCGGACTGGTTTAAGGTCCTTGGCTCATTCTGCTGGATCTGTGTGGGATCCCCTCGAAGCTCTACTATTTCGCGCAGAGAGGCGCCACTGCGTTGGCTACATCTTCAACCGTCGCATATCGTACGCAAGCCATGCCCTTCGACCTGCATGCGCCACACTTCCCCGGTAGAAGTGAGTAACGAGCGCAATGGAGACCCACCTGCCCCAGTCGGTCCCATCTTCCGTGAGGATGGAGCAAAATTCAACAGTGCCTGCTTGCTTCATATGGTCTTTCAGCTCCTGCCACGTGGCCTTGCAAGTTCTGCACTCAACTCATCTTCGCTCAAGCTTGGCAACTTGGCAAGTCAACTCTTGGAACCAGTTGAAGCTGAGGTGCCTTCCAGTCTATGTTGGCCACGTATACCAAGAACTTAGGATCCCCCTTGACCTGGTTTCCTTTGCCACCAGGGAACCCACCCGCCATCATCATGGCCATCATTGCAGCCATAGGTGCAAACTGTTGACTCCCCCATTGTGAGGAATCCCAATCATCAGCATTTCCAGCATTTCCCCTGTCTCCGTAAGGGCCAGCAGGTCGAGCTGGAACAGGATTGGCCTTTCCGTAGACTGGCTGCGCCTTGCCCTTCCCGCCGAATGCGGGAGGAGCACCCCAATTCTGCATCTCTGAACCCTAAACCCGGACCCAGCTCGAGTTGCTTGGTCCACAAGTCTGCCGGAACAGAGATGCAAACAGCAACAGCAGCACAAGCACAGGTAAGCACGCCCAGGCCACTAGGTTTAAGTCGGCACACCTCAACCCGCAGCACACCAGAACCAGCCAGTATTTCGCATGCACCCACGTAAGACAGGCCTCATCAGCACATCAACCCCGGGGCTATTTCCATGAAAACCATCACATAGGACTCGATCGCTCGGAAACTGAAGACCGGACGGGACACAAGGCACATAGTGTTGGAACGACTTCGGCCCAGCAGGGTCGACTTAAACCTACCGCCAGCACAGGGCAGGTCGTCGTGCTGGTGATGGCGATCTTTTCCATTCTAGCGGTTTGGGCTGAGACACATCATTCTACCTTATATATGTCGATAAGGGGGGAGCTTTGGTCCGTGGCAGTTTGCCTGGACACCAAAATGACCAAAAAGATGGCTAGGGAGAAGATGCCCGTCTTTTTTGGACCAGTTAATGGTGCAGAGCTTCGAGCAGCACCCAGACGGACGCGAAGCCTGGACAAGCGAGAACTTGGCTCTCCAAGTTTGCCGGAAGCTTGCAAGGGAGGCCTTCACATACGAATGGCAGCACTTGCCCGCCGTCACACTAGTGCTGATCCTGCAGCCACTCATGTCACGTCTATGGTCAGGCGTCTGGCGTTCCCCCCCCCTCTCCCGCCGCCCAATGGTATGGTCTGGTAGGGGTGGGAGGGATCGGGGCTGGCGGAGGGGTCGAGGCCGTTGGCGCTGCCCCTGGATGGTGGGGAGGTGCTGTGAAAAGTGGTCACACGCAAGCAGTGCCCAAGCCATAAACCCTACAAATAACGTAGCGCTTGCTCCTTTTGTTGTTAACCTTAACCTGTACCTTAGGCCTTAAGCCCTACACCCAAGCCACCCGGCCTAAATTTAAATGCAGGCTCTAAGCCTAAAGCAAGCAGATCATGAACCGTCTACCCTAACATAAGCCCTTGTCCATTCGAAGCCTTTTACCTTTTAACCATAAACCCAAAACTCAAAAGCTCAAGCTAAACCCTAAACCCCTAAACTAAACTGACTAAACCCCACAAGCACCCCACAGTGGGAAGAAGACCCCGCACCCCACACCACAGGGGGGCGGCCACGGAGTGCGTGACCATGTATGACTCTGTCGGGATTTGTCCGGGGGTTCGACAGTATTTCAACTTGCTCGCATTGAACGAGCTTTGTTTGGCACTCGACTGGGCTCCGCTCAGAACGCTGATAGTAGGGCAGCTCGACAGGCAAAGTGCTGATACAGGGCCAAGGCAAAAAAGCCAACAAAACGGCCACATGACCTCAGCATGACTGAGAATAACAAAATGCCCTGCACCCATTTTTGAAGAGCCCGCTGCTCCAACAGTCGAGGCATGCAAATCCAGTGCTGCCTGTAGTGCTGGGACGATCGACCTTGCCATGGCAGCCTTGTGCCGGCCTGCAACCCCGGCCCCTGTGCCGATTGCCGTCAACATATTCAACACATTCCGGGCTTCCCCTGCCAGCTTGGCCCGCATGCCCTTCTCGGTGACACGACTCGACCAAAAATGGCGCAGCAATGTCACTGCCCTGGTCACTGGCTCCGGTGTTACCACATGGGTATCCCCACTGCTGCTTCCCGGGAGCAACCGCTCAGCGGCTAAGAGCTCGTCAGTCGAGTGTTTGAGAACCCAACGAGTGCCAGTTTCTGAACCGATCGCACCGCGCTTGGAAGGCCACGTCGTCGGTATTGCTTGGCTGTCTCGAGCCGTCACATCTGTGCGGTCTTTCTCAGGAAGGTTTGACCTTGCAGAAAGAGCGCCTGCCCCCTCCTTCAATTGCAACCGTGGAGGTTGTGGTGCTGGTGAAGCTGTCGCTCCAAGATCCTCCTGAAAAGTCTTTGTTACCTGCCGCAGTTCAGAGCGTCGCTTCTCCACTGCTTGTCGGAGGTCTCTGCTGTCCACACTGTCTCCAGCCTCTGGTCCTGTTGCCGTAGCACCGGCGCTTCGCTCGTTTAGCCGACTGATGAGAGTAGCCGTGGCCCGACGCTTCTTCAGCGGCCTGTCAGCTTCAAACTCGCCCGTCAAATCCGCTTCCAGGTGCGACAGCATGTTTTCGAAAGACGGCAGAGGTTGGGAAGACTCTGGGCTGGTGAGCGAGTCAAACAACCTATCCTCAGGATGTGAAGCCGGCACATCCTTCCCAGCAGCGAACAAGTAATACCGACTTTTAAGGCAGCGCTCCCAGAATTCTCCTTCTGTCATCATCGAAGGTACCGTTGCAGAGTGGAGCTGACCCAGTGCAGGAAGCTCTTTGAAAATCGCCGCGCGGTCTTCTTGGCTGACCGTCCGGTCAGACTTGTGTGCAGCAGCGACAACACGCAAAGGGGCCAGATCAACCACCGGGGCTTCTGGCAATGGCTTCAGGAGCGATATCTCCTGCGAGTGCTGCTTCAAGAATTCTGAGGAAGTGAGGATCCCAGCTTGCTTCACCAAGTACTGGTATTGTTGGCGCAAATCCGGAGAAGCCCAAACGGAGCGCAATTGCTCCCCGAGCGTTTCTGCTTCTTGCCGCTGCTCGTCCTCCAAACGTTTGGCTTCCTCCTCACGGGCCCGCATCCATTCCGAAAGCTCGCTCAAATGCGCCCACTTGTTGTCGGGACAGGTAAACTCAATCACCAGCTTTCCTGGCGGAGTAGGTAGATTAGACAGGCGCACCAAGGCCTCATCGAAACCAGGACGCTTCTTGGAGATCTCGAGCTTTACACTCCTGGCTCCTGTTAGCTGGATCTCGAGCGGACTTCCTCAGTCAGACATTCAATAAGTCAGCTCGCAGCTATCCTTTACCGGCTCAAGACAAGCACAGCATGGCACCCCCGAACCAAAAAATGCGACCGCTTGAGTGCAATAGTCCGTTCTGTTCCTCGTGGAGGTTCGGCACATGGACCAGCCTGGCGCCAGGCCCCAAGCACCAAGAGCTCATCCCGATTCTACACTCTGCGCACAGTGCAAACAGACTCCGCGGGTGTGCTAAATTCTGGGCGTGTCGAGTCTACCCTGTCACAGTGTCGTCCAGCTCGTCATGCATCTACTACAGGTCACGCTGACCCTTTGACGACAACACAGCCATTCTGGAAAAAAACCTGTTGAAATTCTGCCGCACCTTGTGGCTGTCAGAACCAGCTTCCCGGCCAACTTGCGGCACCTTGATGGCCACTTCCCCAAAATATGCTCGCCTTCCCAGCAGTCGTACTCCATCTGCAGCCAACTGCAGCAGCAATGGCCCTGCTGTGAGGTGTTCGATAAGTTGTGCTTTCTGCAGCTTCTGGTCTGGACTCGCTGATCATGATCTATGAAAGCATATCTGATAACAGGTTTATTGCGCATGTCTGCTAGCTGCTAAACGACATGAAGATCAATTGTACACAGTTTTTCACTGCTCTGAGAAAAAGGTTGTGCTCAGAATACAGCCACATGTCCTTGCCGCTCTCGCAACTTGAGGCGCGAAGATATTTCCCTCGGAGCTCACTGTGTGATTGTCTGCACTCCTAGCACCTCCAGATTTGGAAGGCCGCGTTCTTGGGAGTGAACAGCTCGCCGGTGCATTTGGCACCCTCGAGGAATCTTGTACGAGGTATACACTAAAGCTTCGCCTTAAACAACTCATCGACAGCTTCACTTGATGAGATGCCCCTTGCGCAAGGTTACGGCGTTCGACGTACCTCCGGCAGCTGATGCTACTCTCTGACAAGCAGTCTGGCTGGTGATGTCGTTTCCGACACAGATTGGAGCTCGAAGGGCGAGCACGGGCGCACCCAGGAAGGGGAGTCTCCGAGGCTTCATTATGCAAGAGCGTGCCTAGGACGTGGACCACATTGGAGCAGCTGGACCCCAAACTCAACGAGCACAGTTGATTTGCTCAGAACCCAACCATTTCGACCGGTTGCGACTGACGCTTCGGCTCACCATACCTTGCGCACGTCCAGTTGATCGATGGCCCACAGGCTGCACAGACTGCTCAGAGGGGGCATCGTGCCTACCAAACCAATCATTCAACGAGTTGACCTTGACCTGGCCATTTGGGCGGGATGGCTAGGCCTCTGGTATGTTAAATAATACTCTATATCTGACGCAAGTGATCGTCTGGAGAGCCTGCGTCCCTTTCTGCTGCTCTGCCTTCTCTGCCTAGCGCGATATTATGGAAACGGTGTCTTGGAAAAGCTTTCCCTAAGAATCACGAGCTCCACAAACATGACTCACTCGATTAGGTACAGATCGAGCTGGCCAATCGGGCATCTTTGGTACGGAAAGCCACCATTCACTCTCAAAGGTGGCCTTTTCTAGCTGCTGAACCTGGCAGCAACTAGCATGTTAACCGCGGCAGCAAACTTGCTTGGTTGGATTTGCAGCTTCGGATATCACCGCAAGTTGCAGCCACCTCCTTCTGCAAGGACTCCAACTCTTGCGACACCCGCAACACTGTTTGCAGGGTGTGTGCTAACCTTAGTCAAGGCATCGCAGTGAGTCTATGCACACTGAGCATCATGACTACGATGATTTTTCGCCATGCCATGTGCAATTTCGCACTACCAACTTGCTACTGTTGCATTGCTTCTGGCGTGTTGCTCTTGGTGTTGCTGTTGTACTGGATTCGACACCAGTCCCATCAGTCTGCTTCAAGTATTAGTATGATTATTATTTTTCTGTTTATTACGGGGTTGTTGTTACGACTGCTATTGGCAGTAGTATTATTGCCGTTCTTTGGTTTCTTAGCCATAATTTGTTCATTCATTCATTCTTTCATTTCATTCCATGCATTCATTCATCCACTCCGTGCATTCATTCAACTCGTTCATTCAATCATGCCTTCATGCATTCATTCATTCATTCATTCATTCATTCATGGCTTCATTCGTTTATTCATTCATTCATTCCATTCCATTCTCCCTTCATTCACTCATTCGTTCTTTCATTCATTCATTCCATTCTTTCTATCATTCATTTTTGTTCATTCATGTATTCATTCATGTGTTACCATGATTAGTAGCAATCGTGCTATTACAGCGTTGTCAACCTTCTTGCTCGGTTGGTTGGTCTTGTCAGTATTTCTGTGCTTGTGTTCAGAGCTTTGTTGGTCTGACAGTGGTTACTTTCTTGGTCGTCACGGTCATTGTCACCACTTTCTCCTGATAGTTCTTGTCGCGCGTGTTGCTGCTGTGGTAGCTACCGGTTTTGTCGTTGCTCGCTAACTATGCTCCAGCACAGTGTTGTTACCATTTTGGACCGTGTGTTGGTGATTCTTGCACGTCTCGTGTTGTCAGTCCTGGCCTCTTCTCCTTCCAGGCAATCCCCGACCCTTTTGTAGACCCCCATCTCTTGCCTGGCGTCTTTGATGTGTTGGGCCTAAAATCCCTGGTCTGGCCCTCGTTCCATGCCTCGTGGTGTTCCATGTTCCGTCGTTCTTACTGTTGCTGCTGCTCCTCCTGTCTGTGACACGGGCATAGGCACCAAAGCTCTGCAAGGTCACTCCTGCCAAGGTCACCCAACAGCACAATCATAAAAAGCACCCAGTCCAAATCGCCAACTACTGAACCGCCTGACCTACAGCTGGTAAACTGCTTGAAACCTGAGCCTCCACATGGTACCAACTCGTTAACAAGTCTTACAAGCACGCAGTCTGTCCCTGTGTGGGTGCTCAATTCAACTCTTCCGGTGATTTTTCCGTTCATCTCATGCATGCCACTCGGCACCCTGCCCTTCTGAAGCCTCTTCGCTGGGCATGGGCTTTCGGTGAGAATCCCTGGGCAGCAGCGACTTGACACAAGGAATGCTCGCGGCAGCCCGAACTTGGTGCATGACATGGACCCGAACATCTGCCGCGACCTACTCACATCGCGGCAGCAGCTTGACTGCAGCACGGCAGATGCATGTTTGGATACTGAGCTGGAGGCTTCTTGACAACGACCTGCTGCGCTTTCACGTTGCTTCGCCTTGCAATGGGCTACATATCTGACGAAACGTTTCTCCAGTTGCCGCGAGAGCCCAGCTGAACGACGATGTCCTGAAAACAGGCAGCGTTCCACCCACAGCACCATTGCATCATGTCGAACGTGAGACCCCTCACAACAATCACAAAGATGTTCCTCGCCCACTGATCGCCTCAATCCTCTGGCCAGGGCCTTTGCAAGCTGAAGGCCATCGTTCATAGAAGAAGATCTCTGCCGCTGCACGCCTTCTGCTCACGCAGAAGCTCGGCCCGTCGGCTGTTGATGGCTTTGATTTTTTGTGCCTTACAGGCACCCCAAAAATGAGTCCGTGCGATGAGGCCAGCAGCTGTTCTCCTGAGGATGCTTCCCCGGGACTGTTTAATCCCAAAGCACAGATTTTGTCCTTGCATTTCCGGCGATCACTTGCACGCAACAATTCACAGCTCGATGCACTCGTCTCTCCTCTTGTCGCTTCTTCAAGCTCCATTCGTCCATGCCACACCTCGTGTCGCACTGCAAAACACAAGCCGCCGACGGTCATGGTGTCGCCACAAACATAAATGGCTCCCAAGTCTTTTGGCATCTTCTGGCTTTCGAGGTTGCGAGTTTATCTGTTCGGTCGGTGTGCAACCTAGCACGTTTTTGTCCCGTGCACCCTCACTGATCACATGTCTTGCACATGCCCCCTCGTTAGGCATGACGGCTGATCGCATTTCTAAGTTCGCACAGTCATTACACGACGGCGGTCGGGCACGCTCCTGTAACCCGCACCTTCATTATAACTTAATTTGTTGAGCCTGTCGCCTCATTCCCTCATTCGGCAACGGCACTTGATGACATTTGTTGAACCACCCCGTCATAAAGCAATGGCGGTTGATCGCATTCTCAATCGCACCTGGTCATTACGTGACTTCAGATGATGACAATACAAACCCTCCCCCCACTAGGCGACAGTGCTGTGTTAAATCGCACAGAATCAAACAGAAAAGCAAAAGTGCGAAAGCAGCAGAATGCACAAAAATGAAAATAGAGCAAAGGAAAGCAAGAAGAACTGAAAGCACCAAGCAAAAGGTTCTCATTCTCATAACGCACAAATGGCACAACATGAAGTAAAAAACAAAAACCTGCGAGGAGTTGAGTAGACAAACAAGCAAACAAAAAACAGTTGGATGCATTCACATCTCGCATAATCAGGCCCCTGACTGATCACGTGACAAGTTCTTTGGAAGCCTACATGCGTTTTTGCCACAAGAGGCCGATAGAACCACCAAAAAATCCACTCACGGCAAGCTGGAAAGTCCAGAAGCGAAAAGGCACCGAAGCCATGCAAAAGCACTCTCCTATTCCCATACAGGCTCTCTGTTCTGATTTCAGAATTGTGTGACGTGCTCAAGGTGTCGCTCGATGCAGTACATACAGTACTGATAGATCGGCGCTGCGTGACAGCCTGGGGCCGCAGCTGCAAGCCCGGACGCTTCACGCGGGACCTACCTCCCGAAAAAGCTGCGACATGTTCGGACCACACCAAACGATTTGCCGTGCGCCACGAACAGAACGCCACTCTGCAGCTACCAAGCTGGCAAAAACATGTACTGGCAACTGTTTCCCGCTGCACCGCGTCTGGCAGGTCTCTCCATCGTCAGCAGCAGCTCATCTGTTGTCTGCGGGGTCCGTCAGCTGGAGATGTTGGAAAAGCATCACTTGACGCCTGGTACATGCGAGCAGAAGCGAAACACTTTCCAGGTTGACCTGTTACAGAAGGGTACAACGCCCAAGCTTCTCGTCAAGCCGCCCAGTCCCGCCCCACACATCAGCAAATTCGTGCAACCAAGTCACCTGTGAAGGGCTGTAGGCACCCATCGGGGAACCGTGCTCCTGTGCGGCTTGCCACTGATTGAACTTGTCTTTCGCTTCTCGGCTGGCACGCATGCCAGTGGTCTTCAGCTCTCCATATGGGTTCTCCTCCAACCTTGGGCCGAACATGCACCGTCACGCTGCCTGCACTTTCTGCTTGGAAACTGGCCTGGTGTACTTTGCCAGCCCGTGTACGAATCAAAGACTGAAAGGCGAATCGAGGCTGGGTCCAAGGGTTAAGCAAGCACACCACCTGAACAGGCACCTGGCGCTCCGATCAAGTGTCAAAGTAGCCGTCCATTGAGCTTCTCTGAAATTGAACTGCTTCCTGAAAAGTTATGTAAACAACGACCAATGATTTTGGACTAGCCGACACACGATGTGCGCGAATGTTTGCAGCAGAAACATCATCACTTTTCAGTAGTGGACATTTGATTGAGCCCCGCTCGCTTTGAATACACAACAAAGCCTTGCATTGATCTGGCGGGGCGGCTTGTTCCAGGTGCCACCCCAAACGAAGTAGAGTGCCAGCAGGAAGACCAGCGCCAGAACACACAAGCTGATGATGTCAGTGACTCCAAGCGCTGTTGCCAGTCGTCCGGAAAACTCCTGCACCAAGCTTTCCTGAAGTTCACGACACAACCACGAGAGTATTGGCAAACCTGCGAAAATCCCAAGAGCCACACCTTGGAGCGCACTGTGGCAGGAAGAAGCTCGTGGTGTTCCCTCTGGCTCTCATCCTGGACCAGACATCGAGGAAACAGGCGCGAGAGGAAACCCATGCACAGAAAACACTCGCAGACCTCGGTCGGCGCTGTGCCGTTCGTCTTCGATCGCAGCGGAGCAACCCTGAGAATGTCGTTGAATCATTGAACAAGTGCAGCCAACACACCCAGATCCAACGAAGCTTGTTCGTGTTGATGCTCCCGCAAAAGTGGCGATTCAGAGAAGGGCCGAGTCAGCACATGCAAAAATTGTAACATGATGTTGCAGTATTGCACATTTTGCAGGCGTAGGCTCGCCATCTGGACCAGCAGCACGGACTTGGTTGACTTGCCGTCTTTCTCTGAACAAATCCTGCAGGTGTTCTGCCGTATCACTGCAACAGCTTCCGCATCGAAATCTTGTTTCAAGTACATAAGCAGTCTCCAGTTCATGACATAAGCCACGTCCCCTCGCTCATCAGCTGCACAGCATTCACAAAAAAATATCCGGGCCTTGAAGATGCCGCATTTGGCTCACTCCAGGACGAACCAATCAGCAACAGGAGCACAAGGAAGGAGGACCGCATGTAAGAGAGCATGGCGGTCCCTTGTTTCACTAGTCGAATAATTTGTTGCGTGAGGGCATGTCTTGAGCCAACAAACACCCCGTTGGCCAACTCATACGTACAAATTCAGTGTGCTACAGTGTCGAACTTCGAAATTCGAAACTCTTTTTCTGCCCGGCCAAAGGCCATGCATCAGCGGCAGCACGATTGGAGCGCATGTGGGATGCGTGCAGTTGGCGGACACGTCGGAAATGCAGCTAGCCGAGGCTCCAGAGCGCGTATCGGACACACTTGCGGCGTCTCACCGCCACATGAAACACAAACACCTTGAAGCAAGAAGTCGAGGCCGATGTCCAATATCACCATCGATTACAATGTCCACTTTTGGGTCTTGCCTCGCAACCACAGACATGCAGCTCACACCGTCGAAGCTGGTGGCGCCAGCGAACTGTTGCGCGCATCCCTCTTCAGGGACAACAAATGCCATAATCCATTGGCGCCCGTTCTTGCAATCAGCTGGACAACACGAACATGGCTGGCTACTTGTTCAAACATACGACACAAAGAATCGTATGTCATCGTGTCAAGCGGAATTCCGGATTTCTCCATTTCCTTGCAAGATGTCTCAGCGCGAGCGACATCACCCATGTTGCCAAACATGCTGACCAATGTGTTGAACGTAAACCCGTCCGGATGAATAGTTTCTTGGCGCATGTGCTTGTATGACCACAATGACTGCTGCCATTTTGCGCAGTTGCTGCAAGCACTCAGCAAAGCATTACACAGGACCACATCAGGCTGAATGCTGTGAAACCGCAGGTCCCTATAGCACTGCAAAGCTTTAGCCGGTTGGCCCCTCTTTTCGTGTGCTCGGACAACGGCTGTATAAACGATACGGTTGGGCACCCAACCTTCTGCCTGCAATTTTCCGAACAATGCCAATGCCTTGTCTGCATGCGATGTCTTTTCGCACGCATTTATCAGGGTGCTGTAGGTGATCATATTGGGCAGAAGCAGCTGCTGGCGCATGGCAACGAAGGTTTGCAGTGCTTCCTCAACGCTCCCCCCTGTTTCATATCCACTAAAGAGCGAGTTGTAGGTTATAGTGTTGGGCTGCACTGACTGAATGCACATTTCCTTGACGATGTCACAAGCATCTTGAAGTCGGCCCAACCGTGCACAAGCACGTACAGCAGAATTGTAACAAACAACATCGGGCTCCAATATCGCCTCCTTCATGTCTTCCAACACGTTTCGAGCAAGATCAACTTCCCCAGATCTTTCATACGCAGCCATCAAGGCACTGTAAGTAAACAAGTTCGGCTCCACACGCGAAGCTTGCATTGTTGACAAAACGCATCTTGCCCGATCTGCTTCTCGGGTTCTGCCACACGCACTAACGAGTGAAGTGAAAGATAGCACATCGGGTTCGATGCGGTTCGCTTGCATCGCCTCTAAGGTCTCAAACGCCTTGCTCGTCAGACGCATGCGATCATAGGCATGAAGCAACGTGTTGTATGTTACTAGGGTTGGTTGCACACTTCCTGCTTGCATAGCCGCTACAATATCCACGGCACGTTGCATGGCCACGGAGCGAGCACAAGCACCAATGATGGCATTGATGTCAGCCACCAGCTTGCGGGCAATCAATGTAGCGAAAGCATGGTTCCAACAGGATGGCATTTCTTCTCCAGTTCGTACACGAGAAAATTGAGAATTCAACTTACGACATGCATTGCAAGGTGGTCTGCTATGCACACTGGTCTGTGGCATCACTATGCATCCTATACAGACATGGAAGCCCCGGGTATGCCAAGTATTTCACGACCAAGGCATTTTGGAATGCTCAGATGTCCAATGTACCAACAGCTCTTTCGGTACATGGCACGGAACCGAAAAGCTTCATTCACCGACAAACGGCTATCGCACAAAAGTTGTATGCCAGAGCATGTTCAATCTCAGCACAACCATACCACCGCAAAGATTTCTGGCGGGCAATCTAGGACACATACATGTATAGGTATGGGTATATGTATACACGTATAGGTATACTCTAGCGTCTAGGTCGAGGTCTAGGCTATCGAGGTCTCAGTTCTTTGTCTTGGTGCGGGTCTAAATGTGAGCTCGGTGTAGGTTTAAGTCTGGGTCTAGGTCTACGTCTAGGTCCCTGTCTCTAAGTTTAGGTCTAGGTCTAGACCTAGGTCGCTCCAGGTCTAGGTTCTAGGCCCAGGTTTACGTCTAGGTCTCGGTTTGGGTCTTGGTCTAGGTGTAGGTCTGGGTCTACGTCTAAGTTCACGTCTAGGTCTGGTCTACAGGTCTAGTTACTAGTCTAGTTTAGGTCGAAGGCAGGGCGAAGCTAGGGCTGCGGCTAGACCTTGGGCTATGGATAAAGCCCCAAATCGTTACAACTAGGGCGGTCTAGGTTTAAGGTCTGGGTCCAAGTATAGGAAAAAGTATGGGTATGGGTATAGGTATGGGCGTAGGATGGTGTAAATGTAGCTACAAGCGCAGCTGCAGGTGTAGGCAGGTACAAGCGTACGCATAAGTGAAGATGTAATTGTAAGTAAAGATATAAGTATAGATACAGGTATAAGTATAGGTATAGGTATAGAAATAGGTATAAGGGTATAGCTATAAGTATAGGTATAGATATAAATATAGGTATAAGTATAGGTATAGGTGCAGGTATAGGTATAGGTATAGGAAGTATTGGAATGGGTATGGGTATGTGTATTGGTATAGCTACAGGTGTAGCTATAGCAAAGCTATAGCTATAGCTATAAGTATAGGCATAGGTGTAGGTGTAGGCGTAGCCGTGGGTGGAAGTGTAGGTATAGGTATAGGTATAGGTCTAGGTCTAGGTCTGGGTCTAGGTCTAGGTCTAGGTCTAGGCCTAGGTCTAGGTCTAGGTCTAGGTCGAGGTATAGGTATAGGTATAGGTATAGGTATAGGTATACGTATAGGTATAGGTACAGGTATACGTATAAGCATACATATATGTATATATAGGTATAGGTATAGGTATAGGTATAAGTACAGGTATAGGTATAGGTATAGGTATGGGTATGGGTATAGGTATAGGTATAGGTATAAGTATAGGTATAGGTATAGGTATAGGTATACGTATAGGTATAGGTATAGGTATAGGTATAGGTATACGTATACGTATGGGTATAGGTATAGGTATAGGTATAGGTATAGGTATAAGTATAAGTAAAGGTCTAGGTATAAGTATATGTATAGGCAAAGGCATGAGCGTATCGGTATACGTATACGTACGGGTATAGTATAGGCATCAAGTATCAAGTATCAGGTACAGGTACAGGTATAGGTATAGGTATAGGTACAGGTATAGGTATAGGTATAGGTATAGGTATAGGTATAGGTATAGGTATAGGTATAGGTATAGGTAAAGGTACTAATGTACAAGTATAGGTATAGGTACAGGTATAGGTATGGGTATGGGTATGGGTGTAGGTGTAGGTATAGAACCAGGTGTAGGTTTAGGTAAAGGTATAGGTATAGGTACAGGTACCGGTATAGGTACTGGTTTAAGCAAAGGTCTAGATCGAGGTTTGGGTCTAAGTCTGGGTCTACGTCTAGGTGTAATTCTACGTGTAGGTTTACGTGTAGGTTTACGTGTAGGTGTTGGTGTCGTAGGTGTAAGTTTAGGTGTACCTCGACCTAGACCCGGACATAAACCGATACCTTAACCTCAACCTCCACCTCTACCTCCATCTTCACCTCCACCTCCACCTCTACCTACACCTATACCTAAATCTATACCTATAAACAGACCTCCACCTAGACCTACACCTAGACCTCTAGGTCTAAGCCTCGGCCGAGGTGTGTGTAGGTAGGTGTAGGTTTGGGTGTAGGCTTAGGTGTAGGTTTAGGTGTAGGTCTAGGTCTAGGTGTGCATCTAATTGTAAGTTTAGATGTGGGTCTGGGTCTATAGGCTCAGGTGTAAGTTTAGGTTTAGGTACACGTATGGGCATAAGCACAGGTATCGATGTCGTTATAGGTCTACATCTCGGTGTAGCTCTGGGAATAAGTTTAAGTCTGGGTTTAAGTCTGGGTCTAGGTCTAGTCTAGGTCTAGGTCGAAGTCAACGTCGAGGTGTAAGTTTATGTGTAGTCCTAGGTATAGGTATAGGTATAGGTATAGGTATTGGTCGAGGTAAAGGCAGCGGTAAAAGTAGAGGTCGAGGCAGAAGTAGAAGTAGAAGTAGAGGTAGACGTAGAGGTATACGGAGCAAAGGCGAGCCGTTCACGCGGCGTGCGAGGTGGGCGCTGGCAAGCGTCGCGCGTCGGCGAAGACTTCGTGCAGTCTTTCGGCGCTTCACCTGCGACACATGCCTCACCGGCGAGCGGGAGCTCGAGCAGGGAGGCTGCGTAGGCGCGGATCGCAGCAACAGCGGGCCAGCGAGCATTCCCGACCACCTCTGCACCCCGCCGGCGCGCGCAGCCGCGCGTAGTGGGGCTGCGACGCTAGCGGCACCCGGCACGTGCTGTGCCAAGAAGCGCAAGAAGGAGGCTGCTGCTGCTGCTTCGGTGCTGGAACGCCCTCCAACCTCGATCCCGACTACGACAAGCCGCGCACGTCTGACGCCCTGGAGCTCGGGGTATGTTTGGCACCGTTTGCGTCTATAACCGCATCCTGCACGGCTATGGCGGGGCGGGTGTCCGCGCCAGGCCGCGCGGAGTCGGTTCGAGAGACCGGGCTGACGATTGTGGCATCGATCGTGAGCTGGGCACCGGGCCACATGGGCAAGCCATTGGCGACTACCTCAATACGGTGTGCATCGCTGACAGGCACGTCGATATACGTCGATGTTCATGTTGGCAACCCGAACGTTCCGCGCTACCTGCGCTCCGGCCTCGCGGCAGACGCGGGCAACAGCATGCTCCAGCGGAGGAGCCTGGGGAGGCAAGGAAGCCGGAAGTGGCACAGGCATGCGCAGAAGATAATTCGCGCGAGGGGAAGCGCGGAACAGCACGGCTGCAAGTCGGCTAGAGCCGGGATGCGCTGCAGCAGGGTCTGTTGCTGGCGGTGTTTCTCCTGCAGTTGCTGTCCCACGAAGGCTGCGGACCCAAGAGGAGCGCCCAGCACTACCAGCCTTTGGCGTGCTGGCGGTGAGCTCACGCTCCCACCCAAACGTCGCCGCCCTGTTGGGGCTGGATGGCGGACATGTTCGGGGGCTTCTCGCCTGCGGCGTTCCAGACGAGAGCTTTGCCCTTGTTAAGTTGCACTCGGGCACGGGCCCACAAGGCGTCTCAGGGTGGTGTAGAAAGGCACGACTCGCTCGGGCGCGCACACGATGTACGTGTCGTCCAAGAACGCGCCAACGGCTTTACCCGGCGTGAAGGTGCCAGCGACATCAGCAAGTGTGCTGGGCGAGAGCATAAAGTGCAGGCATGAGGGGGTCGCCTTGCTCCCCACCCTCCGCATGGAGCACCTCATGGTCAGCCCCAGCATCGTCTGTCCAGACGTATCGGCTTGCGGCCCCGTAGAACTAACGGGCGCAAGGCAGCAGAGGCTCGAGCTCGGGCCGCGAACAAACGTGGTCAAGCGCCCCGACGGCGTCAACCGACAGCACAGTGGTGCGAGAGATGCGTTCGGTGGCGACTTGCAGCAATTTGAACCGTGCTTCAGTGCGATATGGGGCTGAACTGGAAAGGCACGCACGCTGCTTGCAGGGCCCCGGCGTAGTGTTGGGCCAAGGCGCGCGCGACCAGGCGGCGGAACACGTCGCCAACCTCGGACGCGGCCATTATAATCTTGCGCAGCGCGACAAGCGACCAATCCACAGCGGCCAGCACGAGCTCCGGGAGCTTTGCGTTGATTAGCAAGGAAGACAGCTGCTCGGTGCAGGACCTCGAGGTCGCTCGTCATCCAATCATCCAACAGCAAGCAGAGGTGCTCGTTTTTCCAAGGCCGCGGAGCCACTGCGTGCGCCGCGCAGGCAGTGTCCCAGGTACAGGGCAAGCTTCGGCCGGGGCATGCACTAACACTGCCGGGCTTACTGGCTTAGTGCATCAACTGGAATTTGAGTCCTGCGGGTGGGGAGCTCAGCGAGGGTGGTCTCATCAAATGCGGTGAGCGGCTCGGACGTGAGCGAGCGGCGCGGCAGAGAGCTCGCCAAGGAGAAAAAAGAGTATGGGTATAGGTATAGGTAAAGGTAAACGTAGAGGTAGAAGTAGAGGTAGAGGTACAGGTAGAGGTACAGGTAGAGGTAGAAGTAGAGGTACAGGTAGAGGCAGAGGCTGAGGAAGAGGTACAGGTACACGTAAAGGTAGGGCTAAAGGCTAGGTCGTGGGCCCAAGTCTCTAAGTCTAGCCGCAGGCCCACATCCAGGTCCAGGTCCAGGTCTAGGTTTACGTCTGGGTCTGGGTCTGGGTCTACGTCTACATCTGGATCTGAACCGAGGTTTAAATCCAGGAGAAGGGGCATAGGTACAGGCACGGCTATTGGTAAAAGTATACATACGAGTGTAGGTATGGGTCGGTCTAAACCTAAATCTAGGGTTGCCGCACCGCCAGGCCCCATCCAGCGGAGTTGGAGCTTTTTCCTTGCGCAGCCGGTAAAAGCGCGATCCCAGTGCAGCTGCCGCGGTTGGGCTGTAGCTGTGCGCAGCCAATCGAATTTGCGGACCTCGACGTCCCGGCCAAGGCAGCTGCGTGGCCACTGCGGGAGTGCGAAGCGATGGAATGACCGGGCGGCTGCAACCAACGACACGAGACCGTTTTTTTTTTTTTTTACGCACCTTTTTGCGACTGCGCAAAAGGAGTCCAGGTCCGACTACAGGGCATTGGACGGGGGGTGCTCAAGCGGGACGCGCTGGCAGGCGGCTGTTGGCGGGCGCCTGCAGCCAGCGGGCGTCGGCGAGGAGCTCGTGCAGGGCAGGCGGATCGCCAGCAGCACCGAGCTCTGCAGCAGCAGTGAGCTCCAAGAGTGAGGCGGCGAAAGCTCGCTGGGCAACAGACAGCTTGCTGCCGGCACGTTTGCTCCACTCGTCGTTGCCCTTGAAGGGACCGTGCTGCGCAACCACGTCGCGATATCTCTTCGCGTGCTCCAGCGACCCCTTCCCGCATGTCCCCGTAGTCATTGCGAGGACAGCGAGGAGGCACGAAGTGCCACAGCCGGATCTCACTGCTTACGATATGCAGCGGCGGCGCTGCGTGTTCCAGTGCGGTGACAAAAAAGCAACGAGGTGCTCATCAGGCCGCAAAAGAAGACTTACCGTTACGAACGAGTCGTGTTGCGCAAGTGCGTAAAGCCCCTGTGCGAGAGCATCGCATGGCGTCGCCATGCGCGACGCCACTCTCGACGCCCACAGCTTGCGCGATCTTGTGCACTCGCCCTGCGTCATCCCAGCACAAAGGAGCGAAGGTGTGCGTGTACACAAGTCGGGTTAATCGTAATGGCGATGGGATGGTGTCGGTGTTCTGCAGCTTATGTCAATACATGTGAATACCAGCACGAAGGCAGCATCCAGCTCCCCACTAAGACAAAGTGGCTGAACAGGTCCCTCGTGGCGATGCATCGAGCATTTTTGTTGACTTTACGGAAAGCACTAAGGCCGAAAAACACACAAAAAAACAAACATGGCATCGGGCGTTACCTGCGGGGCATGTGCACAGGCGATCGCGGGCGGCGACAGTTCACAGCGAAAGTGCAAGGTTCGAGTCGCGCCACATCATCCACGAGTCGTCCACGAGCAGCTTTACGGCTGCGCCAGGCAGGTGTACAACGTGGGCACCCACCATCCAGCATCAAGGTCTTGGGCGGGACGACGGGTGTGGCAACCTGTGTTCGTTAAAATCCAAGCCGCTGACCGCATTGATGCTGAAACCACCGGGATTTGGCGAAAGCGATTGTATAAGCTTCTGCCGCCAGGTCTGTTTTTCGGCAGCCGATCAAAATGTGCGGCGTGGGCAAATGCACTCCCGTTGCGCCAACAATACCGCGACGCACCAGACTGTCTTGTGCGCGAGCTCGAAAGCGAAACCGGCGTCGCCTCGCTCCTGTGCAAGGGCGGAGGCTGCACACCAGCTTACAGGGAGGCTAGGCGAACAGACCGGGCCGGGAGTCTTCCGCTCGAGGCGCCGACGTCCCGGCGGCTGAAAGTGAACTCGGCCATTGAAGCCCTGGTTGGCAGCGACATGCCCTTCCCGCACTTCACATTTCATGTCGAATGCACACATTGTTTCCGGCTTGTGCGATGTGAACGCACGCCGTTTCGACGACGAATCCGCACCGGGGCAGCAAGCAAAGAAATTGCCGCAGGCCATGACATACTGGCATGCGCACTGGACTGAAAATGGAAAAAGGATCGGGCGGCCGGAGAAGGGTCGTGCCGCAACAGTAGCCGCAGATCCCTGCCAACGGCCGTACGCTCGTGTCCCCACTTGCTCCGGCTGGTCGACCCCTCGTTGGGGGCGACACACGGGTAGGGTTCGCGTCCTCAACGGCTCGTTGTCCTCGATGCTGACGTTGGGGGCTTCTGGGCGACGACTGCCAGCAGCTCTTCCATGCCCTCGCAGCGAACGTGCCCCACCACCCATGCGTGCCTTTCCAGCCCAAGGCGCCGGGCGCGTCGCTGGTGGAGTGTGTTGTCCGTTGCCCTGCAAACGAGCCGTGGCCAAACGTGTTTTTGTTAGTTCGACCTCGCGAGTGCGAACGCCCCCATTCGGCTGCCGTCTCGCGATGTCTTGTGCGGACGCAAGAAACCACGCATAAACGCTGTGATTACGTTTGTGTCCATGTGTATGTTTATGTTCATGTCAAAGCCTATGCTTCTGTCCATGTTGATGTCGACGTGGATGTACATGTAAACATAAACGTAAACATTTTTGTGTTCATGTGAACATAAATATAACACATAAACGCAACATGTGCATGTACATATGTGTGCACGAATGTATATGTATCTGTATATGTATATGTTTTTGTATATGTATATGTACATGTCCATGTCTATGTATATGTATATGTATATGTTTATGTTTATGTTTATGTTTATATATATGCATATGCATATGTATATGTATATGTATATGTATATCTATAGGTATAGGTATAGGTATAAGTATAGGTATAGATATCAAGAAAAGGTATATGTATATGTACAGGTATAAGTAGGTATAAGTATAAGTTTCAGTACAGGTATATGTATATGTACAGGTATAGGTATAGGTATACGTATAAGTATAGGTTTAGGTGTCAGTATACGTATAGGAAAAGGTGTAGGTGTAGGTGCAAGTGTTGGTGTAGGTGCAGGTGTAGGTATAGGTGTAAGTAGTGGTATAGGTATAGGTATAGGTATACGTATAGGTTTAGGTATAGGTTTAAGTTTAGGTACATGTATACGTATAAGTACAGGTATAGGTATAGGCATAGGTATAAATATAGATAGGTATAGGTATAGGTATAGGTATAGGTATAGGTATAGGTATAGGTATAGGTATAGGTATACGCATAGATACATGTATATATAGGTTTCGGTTTAGGTTTAGGTCTAAGTACAGGTATAGGTATAGGTATAGGCATGGGCATAGGCATAGGTGTCGGTATACGTATAGGTACAGGTATAATATAGGTATATGTATATGTATAGGTATAGGTATACGTATAAGTATAGGTGTAGGTATCAGTATAGGTATAGGAAAAGGTGTAGGTGTAGGTGCAGGTGTAGGTATAGGTGTAAGTATAGGTATAGGTATAGGTACATGTATACGTATAGGTTTAGGTATAGGTATAGGTTTAAGTTTAGGTCATGTAGACTTATAAGTACAGGTATAGGTATAGGTATGGCATAGGTATAAATATAGATAAGTATAGGTGTAGGTTTAAGTATAGGTATTGGTATAAGTATAGGTGAAGGAAAAGGTATAGGTATTGGTATGGGAGGTATAGGTTTGGGTGTAGGTGTCGGTATAGGTATACTGGAGGTACAGGTACAGGTGTAGGTGTAAGCAAAGGCATTCGTGCATTCGTAGAGGTATATGTATATGTGTATATATATATATATATATGTTTATATCTATATTTTCTTTCCATATAAACGTGAATATATATCGATGGTCAATCTGCTGTTCCATTGCTAGTTACTAGTGATGCAGCGATGCATGCACCAAACACAGAGGGCCATTTATCGCTTCTGCACATGTACAAGTACAAGTACAAATACAAGAACATATGCATGTATATGTTCTGTCTTTGTTTATGTCTGGTCCCTGTCTTTGTCTATGTGGATGTACAAGCAAAAGGGAGGGTGCTGGCCAGGGTGTTCGGGGATGATTCGACCAAACGTACTATTAAGCATGCTACAAAGAAAAGATTGTTGATAAATCGCTTTTCAAGAAAATCCTGCGACTCGGCTAAGACACAGAGTGCAAACATGGACCAAAGCCATGATAGCGCAAGCGAATCAAAACAACTAAAATTTTTGATTGCACCTGGATTTGAACCTGCCTGGATTCTGCTTTAAACTTGGACAAATCTGTGTTACTGTGGGGGTACTCTGATGTGTCTACGTTTTTTGCCCCGAAAATGGGCTCGTAAAATCTCGTCGAAAATGTGGCAGGGTCGGGAAGCCCTGGACGGAGGTTTTGGCCTGAATTCAGATCTGGAGAAGTGTTGGGAGGGACTTGGCAAGGCTGCGGTGCATGAATTGCAGACGCCTTCAAATAGTGCCCGAATAGTGCCTGAAATAGTGCCCGAACTGGTGCCTGAATGAACCCTTCATAGTGCCCAAATGATTTTTCGCGAAGAAAAAGGAGATTTTCTTTCCTTTACGAAAGGAAAATGCATTTGGGCACGTTCATTCGGGCACTATTTGGGCACTATTTTGGGCACTATTCGGGCACTATTCGGGCACTCTGCCAGTGCTGCAGGAGGCATTGGGAGTGATCTGCGGGGCAGGGTTTGGAATGCAAAAGGGGGGGTTTAGGGAAGGATCTGCAGAGTTCAGGGCAGGATCTGAAAGGCAGGATTTGGGGGAGGGTCCGCAAGCAAGCGTTTGGAGGAGCATACACGAAAAACATGAGGGGTGGCATGTGCAAAAAATTGTAGTGTAGTCTATCTACAAGTTTACGGGGGTCTTGGCCATGCGAGGGTTCGGGAAAAGATCAGGCAAGACTTCGGGGAGGATCTATATTGAGACTTTATGAAGGAGTTATGGTTTTTATCGAGTGCAGCAGTCAGTCAGTCATTAACAGTCTTCTTGTTTGCATATTTAGAAATCCCCCCGCCCCCTCAATTTCAATGTGTGCCGCAATGTGTGCCGCTATGCTCATTGGCGCTTCAATGTAAACATTGAAATTGGGGGGGCGGGGGGTCTGGAAGGTTCTCGATTTGTGGACAAACAATTCCAAAATTGTATCGCGCGAGGCTATTTTTCAGTGTTCGAGGTACCCCATAGTCAGTTGGCGCCTCGCTTGCCATGCAAGTAGTTGTCATGACATCATGGTCAACAAATAGTTTCCAATCAAGCGGTCTCAGCTTTGGGAACCAATTTTTAGCCTCAAAAATGGATCAACCCGAGCTAAAAAAACTGCGGAATTCTGGGAGGGGACGTGTTTGAAGCTGAACCAAAGTTTTGCCCGACATGCGGCCACCAGAGGCTTGGGCGGTATCTGGAGAGCCAAGGGTTGGGAGGCCTGCAGGACTACCAAAGCACTGGAAATGCGCACGAAGAATAGGAATTTGTGCTGTATTGAATACCTCCCCGCCCCATTTCAATGTGTGCCGCAATGTGTGCCGCATGCTCATTGGGCGCTTCAATGTAACCATTGAATTTGGGGGGAGACAAACAATTCCAAATTGTACTATCGCGCAAGGCCATTTTTTTCAGTGTTGGAAAAACCACGAAAACTGTAGGACGCATCAAGGTACCCCCCTAGTAGAACTGGATTTCAAATCGAGTGTCAAACCTGCACTCGACGAGGCCCGCTCAAAAAAGAGTGGCGACATACGTTGCTTGCCAGTGGAAAGGAAGTCACGCAGCGGCCTACACCATGGATAAGAGTCTTTTCCGCACGTGCGGAGTTTTGCACTTGGGGAAAGTGGATACTCACGCCTACCAGCTGATGTCGCTTCCTGTCCTACTTGCAGCAAGCAATTGCCCCTTCCTTGGGGGCATATCCATCTCCAAATGTTCGAAGCTTACCTGCTTGTTCAGGCGCTTTCCAGCTTTGACGAGAAGGCATGTCCGGATACGGCTTCCTGGCACTGCACAATCCACGGACCGGCCAACTTTCGCTTGTCGCCATCTTGTGCTTGCATAACCAGGTTGCTTGTTAGCCTTCTTGTCGGACGCCTGAATGCACCTACAAGCACCATGCGCCCTCTCGAGGAGCGCAACTCCGAAGTCTACAAAAGCTCCCAATTTGTCAGGACTCTCAGGCTTTTGCGCAAATCCCAGCTGCTTCCCATAGCTTCTGCGGACCGTGCGGAATCTGGAACTGGCGCTACGCTGTGTGGCTCTGCACTGACCGAGCGGTGGTTGCCATGCTCTTTGAGGCCTTGGAAGAGTGTGACCACAGTCGCTGATCGCTTTACTCTCCCGCACATCCTGAACCGTTGCTGTTGATTGGTCGTGGAATGCGATCACTGCTTCCAGGCAAACACATTATTTTGTCGGACCATGATGCTGCGCCACTGCGCTGTTTGAGGTGGCCGATCTGCAGGACCCATGCTGGACTTGCACGATGTGCAGACCTCTTTCAATCCTCTGATTATGCGTTCGCCTGATGACACCTTATGGTTTTTCGCCCGACGGTGCCCACACGGTTGAAAAGGAAAGCCATCGATCAAGAGAATGCGGGAGTCATCTTTGTCACAGAAAGCCATCCACTGATGCCTAGGAGGGGTTCTTTTCCTTTTATTTTTGTGATGGTTGGTGTTTGAGGTTCCAACACACTTAAACAACACAAAGTTTCCGAACCCAGAGTTCAAACTCTCTGGAGTTCTGGAACCCGGAGTTCCAGTAAAGAGTTCTCCAAACTCCAGGTTCGCACATAGATCGAACCCAGGGTTCTAACAAGAGTTTCCGAACCCGAATCTTGGACGGAATGCAAACCAGCAGTCCCATTCTCTCTTAGGTTCTTGCATTGCATTATTTTGTTTTGAGCGTCCGAGACTCGGACAGCATCTGCATTGAACGGTTATCGCTGCTGGTTGGTAAACAAACAGGATGGCGCGCCTATTTCTTGCAAATCAACTTTTTTGAAGAAAACCTTCGCAATCTTTTATTTTCATCCTTCCAAAGCAATGTCAAGTGGCATCTTTTTTCCAGAAAGTAGAAGTGCAAGATTTA